TCCTCTTCCCAAGTCCCCCGCCCTCCGCGAGCTGCAGGGGTGGCGGAGTGTGGCTGGCGACTCCAGATGGCGCGGGGAGAGACGGGGGGGGGGGGGGGGCTCTGAGGCCCAGACCCCCCCCCCCTCTTCCCCGCCGCCCACACAGCACACACCTGCACACCTGCCCAGGTAACGCGCTCACGCCGACGCTGCGTGCGAGAGCTCATCATGAGTTAGTGGGGCATGGGGGGTCCCCCCCCCCCGTTCTCTACAAACGAGGGGGGGGGGGGGGAGACGTGGCCGTGCCTCCGTCTGCAGGGTGGCCACGACAGCACCGCCATCTTAATCAGCATCAGCAGCACAATCATCAGCAGCAACAGCATCGGCAACAATTATCGTCCCTCCTGTGTCTTGAGACCGTGAGAGATTGCATCTGCTGGGGGAGGCCTTCATCCAGCAGTGGATTGATTATGGCCGGCGATGGTGGCGATGCGGTGAGGTGGGATGCGATGGGAGGCGTGGGATCGTGGCGTCTGACCCGGTAGCGACACCTGGCGCCGCGATGGATTAATGAGGAATCATCCACCAACCCCGTCTCCCACTCTCTGAACCTCTCCCACAAGCCCCCCACCTGCCCCCCCCACCGTTCTCCTAGTCACCCATCCCTCTTCCCAGCTCTCCCCCACAAGCCCCCCACCTGCCCCCCCCTCTCCTAGTCACCCATCCCCTCTTCCCAGCTCTCCCCCACAAGCCCCCCACCTGCCCCCCCCCCCTCTCCTAGTCACCCATCCCTCTTCCCCGCTCTCCCCCACTCCCCGGACTCGCCCTCTACCTCCTGCGACACCCCATCGAGCCCCCACCGCCCTCTCCCTGCCCCCGTGCGGTGCCGACAGATGGCGCCGCTCGTTCTCGCGTTCCACTTCCAAGGGCAGCGAGCGGCGTACATCGAGAGCAGCCATCATCCCCCTTGCTGTACCGCCTCCCGCCAGCCTCCTCGTGGCGCAGTGTATGCGTCTCAGCACACCAGCTGATCATCTCTGCGTGATCCTCCAACGCCGCGACCCCCCCCCCCCACCACGGCGCTAACAAGAGAGACGAGATGGTTTCATTTAGACTCGGATCCAAGTCGACTCCGTGTGAGCGGGTGGGGTGAGGCCTCGAGAGAACAGGATATGAGTCGCATTTGCAGGGGTGACCTGCGTCACCACAATGACAAATGCAATGGCATCAAAACAAGTACAGTACAACAATCAACCAACCGTCAATCAGAGCAGAGACATCACAACAGAGCACGCCACGGCGTTGCAGTGAAGGGGCGATGCAAGAGACAAGAGGCCATCGCGATGGGAGCGGTGATGCGAGTCCGTGTTGCCATGAAGAGGCTGCCGGGTGGCTCAGAGCTCAGAGCCACCGCTGCCGACATCCTGGGCCTGAGATCGGGATTGAGCCGCCTGTGGTTCATCTGGGTTCCCAGCTGTGAGCTATCGACGGTCGGAGTCCCGTGACGAATGACTCGCATCGACACACTCGCAGACCCACATCGAGACCCAGACACTTACAAAGAGTCCCATAGAATTCAATCGAATTCAGTAGACTTGAGTTGTGAATAAACTATTTTCTCAATTGTAGCAATTGTAATTAGTTGATGGTCTCAGCCCGGTCATCTATAAATTCCAGTTCTGAGATTTAAAAAGAGCACTTTGGCCGTCATGCGACGAACATTACCCTGCAGGGCGCTAGGACTGCTGGGAAAGTGCTGCCCTCTGCTGTGTGGGGCCCAGGTCGCTTGAAGGTGGATCTCAGATTGAGGTCCGCGACATCCGCTTCCGCGGGCTGTTCTCGCACGCTCCGAGGCGAACGCGCCGACTCCGCCGACGCCGCCGCTGATGAGCGCGGTATTGAAACTGATCTTCGATTGGATTGGGGGCCAGTGGAGAGATCGGAGTGTCGGGGGTGATGGAGCCTCGTTCACGTGTTTCGTTTGTGCGGTTACGTTGACTCCGGCAGGGCGGCACGGTGATGGCGCAGTGGTCACAGTCGTGCATCACAGCAACACGCCCCCTGGTTCGTGACTTGGGCGCCTCTCAGTTCGAAGTTGGTATGTTCTCCTCCTGTTCTACTCCTGTTCTCCTCCTGTTCTCCATGGGGTTCCTCTGGGTTCTTCGGCTTCCTCCAATAGCTAAGAAACAAAATGTAACTCGTATTGGCCAAAGCATCCCAATGATGAACACACTACCTGCAAATTACGCATTTGGGATTGCACATTTGCAGCAACATCCCCACCTTGTGCGAAAACTTGGCCGGACCCTTCTGACGAAGAGCCTTGGGACTCGGTGAGACTTCCTGGGTAAATAGCGGAATCATAATAATGAGCCCAACTGCAACGCGACAATTTAATTTGAATTTGCTATTTGAGTAGCAGAGCACGTGGTGCCCTGACGCGGCCAAGGCCTCGAATTCATCGATCCAGTTGGGCTGCCTGCGCGATCTCTTGCTGGTGCAGGTGGTGCTTGGTGGTGGTGCTGGTGGTGGTGCTGGTGGTGGTGCTGGTGCACCAGTGGTGGAGGAGGCTCGTGAAGGACGCTACTGGGCAGTTGGAGGCAGTCGCCCTACAACAACGGAGGGCGGAGGAGCGACGCTCACAACAACGAGCGGAGCGCCGAGCGGATTAAATGCAGCAAATTGGCACAGTAGGGGGTACAGCTGGTGCATCTAGCGGTCATCTCAGTCGGTCAACCCATGGCACCTGGGTCTATCTGGAGACCTGTCAGCGAGCCTTTGACACTTCACATAGCCTCAAAGTGCACCTGGCCTGGCACAGGCGCCGTGGTGACGTTACCGTCACTGAGTGGCGAATGGCGGGGATTGATGGTGCTGCTTGTGATGATGGTGCTGGTGGTCGTGACCTCTCTCGCCAGTCGAGGTATTACCGCACGGGCAGCGTTTGTGGACGACGCGAGCTGTGTGATCGCTGCAGATTTGAGGCGGGCAGTTCCTTCAGCCGCAGCCATCCGGCGCCGCCGCCTCCTAATGAGGGCAGGGAGCGAGTGTCTGGGACGGCGCGGGGTGGCAGCCGCGCGCCCCGGTGGTGAGTGACGCCCCGAGGCCACGTGGCTCCCGCTGACAGACGGGAGGCTCGGCGCGGCCACAGCCCGCATCCCAGCTGCGTCTCTTGAGTCGCCGACCCCCCCCCTACCCTGCCCTGGCCATTCATGAAGCCAACGGCGCCACCACCAAACGACAGCGCTCACCCACCATCAAAGATATCCTTCACAGACTTTTGGGGCAGCTATGAAGGCTGCTCGCGTGGGTGGCCCGCACCACGGTGCTCGTGGTTACACAGCGCACCGGGAATGAATGTCAAGCTGAGTCGACCTCGGGGTAGCTAAGGACCGCTACAGATATTCGTCACTGCTGGCAAGTGAGCAGGAATGGAATTGTGAGGTTCGTAACACTCCGCTAACCACTGCGCCACCCACCGTTACGCATCTACCACGACCGCCGCCAACCAACTGACGACACCGCCAGCACCCCCCGCCCCGCGGGGCTGGTGGATGATGGGCGCGGGTTGAGTGATTTGAGCGCAACTCGCGGAGCGTGCGGCGGCGTCGTCGTCACGACCCACATGCACGCTCCGTGTTTGTGTGTGCATCGTGGGTACACCGCGTACCTGGCATAGAGTCTCCCCTCGGTCAGCTTGGCCTAAAATAGTGTTTTGGTTGTCGGTGCTGGCGGTGTGATAAACATTCGCGCACTCCAAGCGCCGCGTGTCCGTCTGCCTCGGATGCCTCGGCGCTGGCCGCGTGCCACAGAGAGGGCCTTGCTTGGCCCGGACCAATCCGTGGCATCGGTCACGGACATCCCAGCAGCACCACCACCCAACAGCACCACCACCCAGCACCACCACCACCCAGCACCACCACCCAGGACCACCACCCAGCACCACCACCCACCACCACCACCCACCACCACCACCACCACCACCCACCACCACCACCCAGCACCACCACCCAGCACCACCACCAGCACCACCACCACCACCACCACACCACCACCAGCACCACCACCACCAGCACCACCACCCACCACCACCACCACCACCACCACCACCCAGCACCACCACCCACCACCACCACCCAGCACCACCACCACCACCCAGCACCACCACCCAGCACCACCACCCAGCACCACCACCCACCACCACCCAGCACCACCACCCAACACCACCACCCAGCACCACCACCCAGCACCACCACCCAGCACCACCACCCACCACCACCCACCACCCAGCACCACCACCTAGCAGCACCACCACCACCAACGCACGGGCGCTGCCGCGTCGTGGAAACTTCTCGCCGAACGAGAAATGGAAGTTTCTTCCCACACGATTCTGGCACGATAACAACAACCGTGCAGTTTAGGTGTCACTCGTTTAAGCAGATCGAGTTCTGTTTCCACGTGGCCACGTGGTCACGACGTTTCAGCGGAAAGTCGAGGGGGAAATATCGCGGGGGTCGAACCAGAGCGGCGGCCAACATCGCCGGCAACTTGCGGCGGCCTCTGTCAGACGAATTAAACGACGGGGAAGCGGCAGCCCTGGGCCCAGATGGGAGTCGTCATCACGAGACGAGAGCTGTCGACGAAAGGCGCCCATCCCATGGCCGCGGCTGCTTCTTCCCCCGCCTCCAGCCTGCACCGCTCAGCGCTCTGCAACACCTCCGCTGATGGAGTTTCTCGCCATGTGCAGACACGGGAGATGGCATCGGGTTCAGAGTCGCCGGGGCCCCAGGCAGGGCACGCCTCTGTAATTGGCGGCACTCGCAATGGCTCCCCGTTCGCTCTCCACCCACACCGTGCCCCCCTCCCTGCCCCCCGGCCCGTCCCACTGCGCCGCCGCTAAGCGATGCCACATGGCCGGCAGGCTCGCGGCAGACTCTGCTCCTCATTGGGTGGTGGCCTGGCCCGCTCGCCCGCTCGCTCGCACCCAACAATGTCAACGATTCCTCGTGTAGCCTCTCACGAAGTGCCGGGCGGGCGATGTGAACCAGCGCCGCTGATTCAGGGCCGCCAGGGCGCACGACTCGCAAATGTTTGTAATTTTAAACACCGCAACGGGTGACGCCTTTTAAAGGCCGAGTCGACCTAGGGGAGGCCCCGGGACTGGGTTCAAGGTATTGGCCTTCACTGTCATCGGTGAGCGGAGAAGTTCGAACGCGGGCTGCCCGAGTTCGGAACGCGATGCGGTGGCGCTAACCGATGCGCCACCGCTCCCTCCCCTCCTCTGGCTCCCCCGGGCTGAGGGGGGAGGGGGGAGGAAGTTTCCCCTCTCGCCCCCCCCCCGCGTCCCCGACGGAGGCACAGCCACGAGCACCGCTGTTGCTACCACCACCACCGCCGCCGCCGCTGCTGCTACCATCGTCGCTCCTTCTCGCCGCCTCTCGCCGCCCTCCAGCTCGCCACAAACTTGGTGCGAGCGGCGCGGCCCGTGCCGGGGGGCGTGGAGCCGCCAGGCGGAGAGAGACGCCGCCGGCAGCAGCAGCAGCAGCGGCCCGGCAGAGATGCCGCTCGCGCAGCCGCCGCCGTCACTGCCGCTGCTGCCGCTGCTGCCCTCTTCCTCTTCCTCCTCCTCACCGCCGCCACCGCCGCCACTCGCCGTGTGAGGAGGTGAGGACCGTGAGGAGGTGGGGGGGGGGGTGAGGAGGTGAGGACCGTGAGGAGGTGGGGGGTGAGGAGGTGGGGGGGGGGTGAGGAGGTGAGGACCGTGAGGAGGTGGGGGGGGGGGTGAGGAGGTGGGGGGGGGGTGAGGAGGTGGGGGGGGGGTGAGGAGGTGAGGACCGTGAGGAGGTGGGGGGGGGGTGAGGAGGTGGGGGGGGGGGTGAGGAGGTGAGGACCGTGAGGAGGTGGGGGGGGGGGTGAGGAGGTGGGGGGGGGGTGAGGAGGTGAGGACCGTGAGGAGGTGGGGGGGGGGGTGAGGAGGTGGGGGGGGGGGTGAGGAGGGTGGGGGGGGGGTGAGGAGGTGGGGGGGGGGTGAGGAGGTGAGGACCGTGAGGGGTGGGGGTGGTGAGGAGGTGGGGGGGGGGTGAGGAGGTGAGGACCGTGAGGAGGTGGGGGGGGGGGTGAGGAGGTGGGGGGGGGGGGGGGGGGTGAGGAGGTGAGGACCGTGAGGAGGTGGGGGGGGGGGGTGAGGAGGTGGGGGGGGGTGAGGAGGTGAGGACCGTGAGGAGGGGGGGGGGGGGGTGAGGGGTGGGGGGGGGGTGAGGAGGTGATGACCGTGAGGAGGTGGGGGTGGTGAGGGAGGTGGGGGGGGGGGTGAGGAGGTGAGGACCGTGAGGAGGTGGGGTGGTGAGGGAGGTGGGGGGGGGGGGGTGAGGAGGTGAGGGGGGTGAGGGGGGGGGCTGTGAGGTGGGGGGGGTGAGGAGGTGAGGACGTGAGGAGGTAGGGTGGTGGAGGTGGGTGGGGGGGTGGTGAGGAGGTGAGGGGGGTGAGGAGGTGGGGGCTGTGAGGAGGTGAGGGGGGTGAGGTAGGGTGGTGAGGAGGTGAGGGGGGTAAGGAGGTGGGGGCTGTGAGGAGGTGAGGGGGGTGAGGAGGTGGGGGCTGTGAGGAGGTGGGGGGGGGTGAGGAGGTGGGGGCTGTGAGGAGGTGGGGGGGGGTGAGGAGGTGGGGGCTGTGAGGGGGGTGAGGAGGTGGGGCTGTGAGGAGGTGGGGGCTGTGAGGAGGTGGGGGCTGTGAGGAGGTGGGGGCTGTGAGGAGGTGGGGGGGGTGAGGAGGTGGGGGCTGTGAGGGGGGTGAGGAGGTGGGGGCTGTGAGGAGGTGGGGGCTGTGAGGAGGTGGGGGGGGTGAGGAGGTGGGGGCTTCCCACTGTCACCGCTGTTGCTGAGGCTGCTGGGGCCGGGCCGTGGGGGCGGCCGCGTTGCCGCGTGGAATATCCCGTGAAAGTTTTGGGGGTGAAAGCGCGCCCGCGGGAGAGAGAGAGAGGCAGGCGGTGGGTGGGTAACGTTTGTCGGTGGTGGTGTTGGTGGTGGTGCTGCTGGCAATGGTGGTGATGGTGGGTAGTTATGGTGGTAGTTGTAGTGGTGTTGGTGGTTGCGATAGTGATGCTGAAAGTGGTGAGGGTACCGGTGATGACGGTAGCAAATATAATTGTTGGGGGACCGCAGCTGGAGTCTCTGCGTACCAGACTCTCTGAGCCAGGCACAGCGAGCCAGGCACAGCGAGCCAGGCACAGCGAGCCAGGCACAGCGAGCCAGGCACAGCGAGCCAGGCACAGCGAGCCAGGCACAGCGAGCCAGGCACAGCGAGCCAGGCACAGCGAGCCAGGCACAGCGAGCCAGGCACAGCGAGCCAGGGGGCCGTGACTGTGGAGGCCGAGGCGACTCTGACGTTACGCAACCACGGGCCGACCTCGGCTCCGCAGGCGGCCGCGGCGATTCGCTGCCAGCCGCGCGATCTGCCGGCCCCATTGCCTCACCGCGCTCGTTGTGCAAACTGGCGGCTCTGCGCGGTGCTCGTGTGGACATACACACAGGGGAGGCTCGTGGACATACACACAGGGGAGGCTCGTGGACATACACACAAGGGAGGCTCGCGGACAAACAGCAGCCTGCGTCTGCCGCTCGCAGCGCGGGGGCAGCTCGCGACAGGGCCGCAAGGGGACGACGGCCGACGGCGGAGACCGGCGATGGAATGGCAGCCGAAGGAGGGAGTGCGCCTGAGAATGGGTCCCCTGCGGAGCTGAGGGCAGTGAGATCGGCGTCGTGTGGCGGAGCGAGAGGCCCCGTCCCGCAGGGATGGGCCGCGCCGCGCGCTCCCCTCGCGTCAGCGGCGAGGCGCTCTTCCTTGCTTGGCCTTACGTAAAGAGTATCTGAGTGTCGAATCATTCGCGATTGGGAGATCGATACTTACTAGAGATCACACATTGCATGTTTTTTATAATTTTATGGGGCCCTATTAAAAAAAAGTTTGACGTTTCAGCCCCTACACCTTGGTTAGTTGGTGGATGTGCGTCTGACTTAAGTAGGTGACCGGGGGGGGGGGGGGAGGATGTTCATCTCTCTCTGTGAGAGAGTGAGAGAGTGAGTGAGAGTGTGAGTGAGTGAGAGAGAGGGTGTGAGAGGGTGTGTGAGAGGGTGTGAGAGTGTGAGAGTGAGAGTGTGAGAGAGTGAGAGTGTGAGAGAGTGAGTGAGAGTGTGAGTGAGTGAGTGAGAGAGAGGGTGTGAGAGTGTGAGAGAGTGTGAGAGTGAGAGAGTGAGAGTGTGAGAGAGTGAGAGTGTGAGAGAGTGAGAGTGTGAGAGAGTGAGAGTGGTGAGAGAGTGAGTGAGAGTGTGGAGTGAGTGAGTGAGAGAGAGGGTGGAGAGTGTGAGAGAGTGTGAGAGTGAGAGAGTGAGAGTGTGAGTGAGTGAGAGAGAGGGTGTGAGAGGGTGTGTGAGGGGTGTGAGAGTGTGAGAGTGAGAGTGTGAGAGAGTGAGAGTGTGAGAGAGTGAGTGAGATGTGAGTGAGTGAGTGAGAGAGAGGGTGTGAGAGTGTGAGAGAGTGTGAGAGTGAGAGAGTGAGGTGTGAGAGAGTGAGAGTGTGAGAGAGTGAGAGAGTGAGAGTGTGAGTGAGTGAGAGAGAGGGTGTGAGGAGGGTGTGTGAGAGGGTGTGAGAGTGTGAGAGTGAGAGTGTGAGAGAGTGAGAGTGTGAGAGAGTGAGTGAGAGTGTGAGTGAGTGAGTGAGAGAGAGGGTGTGAGAGTGTGAGAGAGTGTGAGAGTGAGAGAGTGAGAGTGTGAGAGAGTGAGAGTGTGAGAGAGTGAGAGTGTGAGAGAGTGAGAGTGTGAGAGAGTGAGTGAGAGTGTGAGGTGAGTGAGTGAGAGAGAGGGTGTGAGAGTGTGAGAGAGTGTGAGAGTGAGAGAGTGAGAGTGTGAGTGAGTGAGAGAGAGGGTGTGAGAGGGTGTGTGAGAGGGTGTGAGAGTGTGAGAGGTGAGAGTGGTGAGAGAGTGAGAGTGTGAGAGAGTGAGTGAGAGTGTGAGTGAGTGAGTGAGAGAGAGGGTGTGAGAGTGTGAGAGAGTGTGAGAGTGAGAGAGTGAGAGTGTGAGAGAGTGAGAGTGTGAGAGAGTGAGAGTGTGAGAGAGTGAGTGAGAGTGTGAGTGAGTGAGAGAGAGGGTGTGAGAGTGTGAGAGAGTGTGAGAGTGAGAGAGTGAGTGAGAGTGTGAGTGAGTGAGAGAGAGGGTGTGAGAGGGTGTGTGAGAGGGTGTGAGAGTGTGAGAGAGTGTGAGAGTGAGAGAGTGAGTGAGAGTGAGTGAGAGTGAGGAGAGGAGAGAGAGTGTGTGAGAGGGTGTGAGAGAGTGAGAGAGTGTGAGAGAGTGAGTGAGAGTGAGAGTGAGTGAGAGTGAGAGAGTGTGTGAGAGGGTGTGAGAGTGTGTGTGAGAGGGTGTGTGAGAGGGTGTGAGAGTGTGAGAGAGTGAGTGAGAGTGAGTGAGAGAGAGTGTGAGAGGGTGTGAGCGTGTGAGAGAGTGAGAGTGTGAGAGGGTGAGAGATATAGTGAGGGTGAGAGATATAGTGAGGGTGAGAGTGTGAGGGTGAGAGTGTGAGAGAGTGAGAGAGTGTGAGAGGGTGAGAGAGTGAGAGAGTGAGGGTGAGAGAGCGAGTGAGTGAGGGTGAGAGAGTGAGAGAGTGTGAGAGGGTGTGAGAGTGTGAGAGAGAGTGAGAGTGTGAGAGAGAGTGAGGATGAGAGTGTGAGAGAGTGAGTGAGAGTGTGAGTGAGAGAGAGAGAGGGTGTGAGAGGGTGTGAGAGTGTGAGAGAGTGTGAGGGTGAGAGAGTGAGTGAGAGTGAGTGAGAGAGAGTGTGAGAGAGTGTGAGAGGGTGTGAGAGTGTGAGAGAGAGTGAGAGTGTGAGAGAGAGTGAGGATGAGAGTGTGAGAGAGTGAGTGAGAGTGAGTGAGAGAGAGTGTGAGAGAGTGTGAGAGGGTGTGAGAGTGTGAGAGAGTGTGTGAGAATGTGAGAGAGTGAGAGAGAGAGTGTGTGAGAGGGTGTGAGAGTGTGAGAGAGTGTGTGAGAATGTGAGAGAGTGAGAGTGTGAGAGGGTGAGAGATATAGTGAGGGTGAGAGAGAGAGTGAGGGTGAGAGTGTGTGAGAGAGTGAGGGTGAGAGTGTGAGAGAGTGGGAGTGTGAGAAAGGGTGTGAGAGAGTGTGTGAGAGAGTGGGAGTAGAGTTGCGCGAGGTGAGCGAGGGCTGATGGGACGGTCTGGTGAGCCTGCTGCTGCTGTTGTTTATCAGGGGGGGAGAGAGAGAGACAACCCGCGGGGTTTGCGAGGCAGCTGTTCACAGCACCCGAGGGCTCGGGCCTGCGGATTCTCGCGCCACACTCGTGTCGTGCACACTCGTGTCGTGGTGCTGTTGGTCGGTGTGACAGGGGAGCATGTAGCGGCGATGGAGCGAAAGAAGTCGACTCTGGTGAAGGAGCGAAATGGATTTTTGCATCGCAGGACTGTTTGAGATGGCGACACCTTGGGGCGGCCTTCATTCAGCAGTGGATTGACCGTGGCTGATGATGATGAAGCTGATGCTTCATCACCAGTGACCGGGTGATGAAGCATCACAGAGCCTCCCCACCGCTGCTGTACAGTGGAGGAGGCTCTCATGAAGCCACCGGAATATTCCGTTAATTTTAAACGAGGGGTGGCGCAGTGGTTTGCGCACCTCTCTATGATCCGGGTGACTTGATTTTGACTCCCGGCCACGGCGAAAGTGAGGCGCGAGCGATTTCCAGCCTGGTTCTGTGCCTCCAACCCCACTCCTCCACTTCACTGGAACACACAAACAAGGGCGGTGGCGATCGGTCAAACGAAGCCCGTCCTTCATCCATCGGTGGATCAACAACGAGGCTGCACACCGCTTAAACTAATTTAGTAAATTGCCGCGCATTTACAATCCTCCTCTCGTGGCACCGGGGACTGGGAAACCTGGAGCGGACTTAGTTTCCCTACGAAGCCGGAGCTAGCAGCCACACCTAGGGTCACGCCACACTTCCTGCCCACATAACCGCGAATATAATTTCATTATTTTATTTTGTGTTGATTGTTTGCTCAGGCGTGAGACGGAAGGTGAGGTAGCGAGAGAGCTGGCCATTGACTGCCTTAGCAGAGGCTTCGAGAAATATGTAGATTGCCCTTTTAAAAAGTAACGCTCAACTTTGCCAGTGAGCCAGACGGCACGGCGATCAGAGGTCATGAGGGTCGGAGTAATTGGAAGCTCGCGAGTTTGAATCCCAGCTGTGTGGATCGGCTCAGGCCGTCGCCTCCAGGGCGGGGAGACGAGGCTTGTCCTGCGGCCAGGACAGCACGGCCGCTGCGTCATCGAGAAACACGGGGCCTGCAGTCCCAGGGAGCGTTGAGTTTAAACAAACACTCGTGCTGCTACATACCAAATGAACGTTGGGATAACCAAAGAGATGTTTAAATCCAGGGTGCCCAAGTGTAGCGGGCCGTCTCTGCCCGGTCATCAGTGACTGCAGAAAAGGAATTAGATTCACGTTAAATTGGTTTTTGCACTTGGATAAATTCCACGTGAGAATAAGAAACATCGGTTTGACCGTCACGTGACAAACATTGCGCTCTGTGGCAGAGCGAGTGAAGAGGTGCTGGTGCCCCATACTGTGTAGAATGGATGTCATTCCAGGGTGATCTCAGAGGTAGCTCTGTGATATCCGCTTCCGTGGGCCGTTCTCTAACACGCAGGGACACGCCGCTCTGCAACATCTCCAAACGGTGATTCGCCTCGTGACGCCGATAGTGTCGCGATGCACATTGTGGGAAATATGACAAGGAAGTCCGACGAGCCGGGATCTCCCAGTTGGCACTGGTCAGTGCAGTGCGACGTTTATTGAGAGACGAGGACGCCCTGGCCAACGGCTCCGTGTGGACGAGCGGCCCGGGAGAGGCTTGTGCTGTAATTCTAATTAACGAGCTGTAATTGCAGCCGTTTAACCCGAGCAGCGCGGGGCCGCGGTGAAGTCACTCGCGCACTGGCGGAGATGGAACCAGTGCAGCCATCTCCACCCCCCCCCCTCTCATTCTCCACTCTCCTCCTGTCTCTCCCCCCTTTCTTGATCTCCTCTCCCTTCCCATGTATCCACTCTCCCGTCTCTTCTCTCTTCCCTCGGTCCGCTTTACCGTCTCATCTGCATGATCCTCCACGTGTCGGTTTCACGTCAACATTGTTGGGGTTTAGGACCTGGCCAGGGTTTAGTGTCAGCTGGGTCTGTCCGGGCCTGTGACCCGGATAATGTTTGTGCATCTAGCACACCACATCCAGTATACCCTGCACCATAGCTGTGGCTACTGGTCGCTTGCCACCTACCATGGCGAGACGACTGATCAAATGTCTCGCTTTCAAAATGTGAGGTGGGTGATGAGGCCCCGGTTGTGGCTGAATGTTTGTGGAGCCGAGCAGGATGGGAATGGTGTCCAAGTGTTTACACAACGGCAATAAAACGCAGTTCCCATCTCCGCTCTCACCCGATCGTGATTTCATCGCAACATTACTTCCTGTCAAACGTGCACGAATCTCGTTCGTGGTCTGCTCAGAACATCATCTCTCTAGGGTTGCAAAACGACGACAGCTTTGTGAGAAAACCAACAGAGGTAGTGGCATGGGGATACCTTGATGCTGCCTTAGGAATGTGGAATTTCCACCGAGGAATCTGGACCGCTGGAGAAGATACGTACCACCGGGTGTTTGTGTGACGGTGTTCGCACTCGGATACCGCTCACTGTACACACTCAAGGTGGTGGGGGAGGGCAGTGATAGTGAGGGTGGGGGGCAGACTTGGGGCAGCATTAGCCCAAAATTGCCGTGGACTTGTGCCCCGTGCGTGCACGAGCATTGTACATTTCACCTGGTTCAAAGTGGCCGTGGTGCAGTGTTTTTAGCGCACTACGCTACAAACACCGTGACCCGAGTTTGATTCCCACTGACAACCAACATTAGTGAAGAATATCTGAACCGGTTCTGGGCCTCCCCGAGGTCGACTCAGCCTCAAATGAGTATCTGATGCGGTGTGTAAACATTAGCACCGGGGAGATAAAGGTGGCCAGGCGAGGTGGCGGGCACGCCACCCCCCCTTAAGCTCTACACCGCGTCAGCCTAAATATGTGCTCTCTAACAGCACTTGGCCCAACAGTCTTGTTAAAGTCTGCATGGGGGATCTTTGTCTTTGTGTGCGACACCTGCAGTGACCCGCGTCTGTGCCAAGCGGTAGCAGCAGCAGCAGCGGTGACGCCGGTGGTGGCGGTGCCGTGCTGCCAGAACCGGCGCCAGCAGCCATGGGGTGTGGCCTGCGCAAGCTGGAGGACGCGGACGAGGGCAGCCCCGGCAAGATCTTCTCCACGCTGAACCGGCAGCAGGTGGAGGCGCGCGTGAGCCCGGCGTACGAGTGCCTCCCCCTCGACTTCACCACCGCCCGCTCAGGTACCCCGCTCAGGTACCCCGCTCGGTACCCCGCTCGGCCCCCCGTGGGTACTCGCTGGGCCTTACGCGAGCATCCTGGTCTCAACGGACGGCGCGGTCACGCGGGAATCTTGCTTGAGGCGTCGAGTGGGGTCACGGGCCAGGTTCACGGGGTCACGGGGTCAGCGACGAGACTACTGCGGCGTGCGTGGTTCTGCTTCTATTGCGGAATCTGCCTTCTCGTGAGGGAGCACCGCGTGCCCCGCCACGGAGAAACGGCGATTACTGGACGTTAATTAAAGTAGATGGGGCCCCACGGGAGGCGCCGGGAAAATGTGAATCTAAAAACGTAACGGGGAGCGGAGATGGCGCGAGGCACAGAGACTGTGGCCGTGACGGCCAAATCTCCGTGATGTTTTGTCGCGCTCGCGGGTCTACGTCGACTTCCATCGTGAGCCGTCAGCTGGAGCGAGCGGCATTCGCCAGTCAGAGAGATCCGCTCGTGAAGGCGATGACGACCGCTCACGCTATCGGGTGCTCGTGAACGTCAGTCGGTGATCACCGGGAATGCGCCCAATCTCATCAGACCCTGGAAGCTAAGCAGGGCTTAGCCTGGACATTCCAGCACTCGAAAGTATGACTGCCGTGTCAGCGGGTGGGGACACCGCCCGTCACCACCTCGTCAACCGTCTCCAAACTCCTGGAGCGCCTCACCCTCGGCATAATCCAAGATCACCCCCCCCATCGTTTTTCCCACTTGAAGCCACCCTCCACCCAGCCCACTCCGCCGACACCGCACCCTTTGGATGGCCGTCGTAGTCTCGAGGCATCGTCGTTCCGGTCGGCCTCGACGTGTCGGCCGCTTTCCGCCTGCGGTTTTATTTCACAACTTGGCAGCACACCCGTAGGGTGACTCGCCCCGCGTCTCCCTGACAGAACTTGCGACGGCGAGGTTGGCGGCTCCTCGGCCCCGGTGGTCCCCCCAGCCCCTTCAGCGTTGCTCAGGGATCCGTCCTGGGTCCTCGGCTGTCCTCGGTCGGGATCTCCCCACTTGGTCGCCTCGTCGATAGTCGCGGCGTAAACTCTAAACTCTTGCACCTATGCCGACGACGCTCATTTACGCTCCACGCTAACCTCCGCTCGGGGCCACTCGCCCTCACTTGTTGTACCTCAGCCTGACGGAAACTGGTTTGGAGTCCCTTTGGACCAGTTTCAAACCATGTGAGTTTCCTCAGTCCTAGGAGTGTGGTATAGATCAGTAAAACCGTGGCCAATTCGGAGGCGTTCAGCTAATTTGCTCCTCTTCACGGAGTCTTTCAGGATTCGGCAGTGCGTCGCTCGCAGGAAGAAGTGAGAGTGTTCCCACGTGAGTGGCAGCAGGAAGCTCGCGCCGGGTTGACCGGGAGGCCGGGCCCCGTCAGCGAAACTCTTGAGGAGGTCAAACAGTCACGGTTTGGGTTTTGTAGACAAAAAAGTCAAATGAATGCGCGAATGTCGTTAATCTGGCCGCAGCAGCCGCATCAGCGGTCCCTGGACGAACGGAAGAATTTGGATTCCAGAGCACAGAGAAGTGAGAGCGTTTTACCATCTTCGGTCATGGCCGGCTGTGTCGGGGCATTCGAAAACAACAACAACAACACGTGTGTGATGCCGCGTTGGCGGCAGTGGTGCCCGAGCACAAATAATAATGCTTACTCAGTCGCCAAGCACACTCCGGCCCTAAAGAGGAAATAACTCATCATAAACAACGCGATCTCTCTCCGCTCTTCCTCGTGCACGATAGCAGCCATCGGCAACAACCAACGGCAAATAATTTGGCTTTGTTTTGTAACTTCTACATTTTTGGCAGCGTTTGAGGGAGCGAGGTTGCGGTTTAACGGTCTGTGGCACGTCAGCCCTCCGCTTCGCTCTCTCTCTCTGATGTGTTTTGGGAGACGTTCATGATGGGCGTTTATGGCCATGGGTCTGCGGAGCGGCGCGTAGTCTCCCTCTCCCACAAGGTCCTGCGGGCCTCACTTCCTGCCCGCAGGGCCACACATATGGCATTGTTTTGTAAACTCTCCCACACTCCCCCGCCCTCGCTCACTCTCGCTCGCCCTCCCTCCCCTCCTGGCCCTCACCACCACCACTGCCGCTACCGCCAACAGCCAGAGAATGTGCCCAACCCAGCCAAAATGTGTCTCCAATCATGAGCGTTTACTCGCACGGGAGGGGGAGAGAGAGCGGCACGCAGACAATCGACAAAGAGTAAAAGTGCTTTGGGCGTTCGTTTTCTGGGGCGGTTGAGAGAGTGAGAAGGAGAGAGGAGGTGCTGGGTGGTGGAGAGGGGGAGAGGGGGAGAGGGGGAGGGCTGGGTGGTGGAGAGAGGTGAGAGGGGGACATGGGGGAGATGGGGCTGGGTGTGGAGAGAGGGGGGAGAGGGTGGCCTGGGTGGTTGAGAAGAGTGAGGGGGGAGAAGGGGGGCTGGGTGGTGGAGAGAGTGAGAGGGGGACAGGGGAGAGGGGGGCTGGGTGGTGGAGAGAGTGGGGGGGAGAGGGGGGCTGGGTGGTTGGAGAAGAGTGAGGGGGGGGAGGGGGGACAGGGTGGTGCGAGAGTGGCGAGGGGGACAGGTGAGGGTGCTGGGTGAGATGGAGAGGCGTGAGGGGGAGATGGGGGACTGGGTGGTGGAGAGAGTGAGATGGGGGAGAGGGGGGGAGAGGGTGGCTGAGGTGGTGGATGAGGGGGAGAGAGGGGGCTGGGTGGTTGAGAGAGTGAGGGGGGAGAGGGGGGGAGGGGGGCTGGGTGGTTGAGAGGGAGGGGAGAGGGGGGCTGGGTGGTGGGGGGGAGGGGGAGAGGGGGGCTGGGTGGTTGAGAGGGGGAGAGGGGGGCTGGGTGGTGGAGAGGGGGTGAGGGGTGGCTGGGTGGTTGAGAGAGTGACACTGTCACATGTATTGGGTTATTATGACCGCTGCAGTCACTAGAGGTCGCTGCACTCGCCACAATGTTTTTAAAATCTTTATTCTGTCTGCAAGAAGGGTAACTGGATCCGGACACAACACTACCATCACCACCACCACCACCACAATCAATACCACCACCACTGCCACCGCCAGCATGCAACCACCGCCAACACCACCACCAACACTATCACCACCACAATCATCAGCACAACCAACACCATAACCAACACCACCACCACCAACATTATCACCACAATCATCAGCACAACCAACACCATAACCAACACCACCACCGCCAACATCACCACCACCAACATTATCACCACCACAATCATCAGCACAACCAACACCATAACCAACACCACCAACATTATCACCACCACAATCATCAGCACAACCAACACCATAACCAACACCACCACCGCCAACATCACCACCACCAACACTATCACCACCACAATCATCAGCACAACCAATACCATAACCAACATCACCACCGCCAACATCACCACCACCAACACTATCACCACCACAATCATCAGCACAACCAACACCATAACCAACACCACCATCGCCGCCAGTGGCTGTGACAGACGGCGCAGTAAACCGTGGCCGAGCTGGGAGCCGGAATGGCTGCGTGTGGGGACAATCTCCACACTGCAGCTAAACATCTCCTATTCAGCTCGCACACGACCGGCCCGAGTGTTGTTGGTGGTGGTGCAACTTGGCACTCATCTGTGCCATTCTCTGTTTGCTCCGGCCATGCGAACGTCTCTCAAGGTTGACCGCAGCCCTGGGGGAGATCAGCTGTAGACGGTGCTATATAGAATTATTCCTGCCATAAGAATGTGGAAATTCCACCGTTGGCTTGGATCCATCAAATAACTCCAACAAAGCCCTGTTCTCATTTGACCGCTGAGGCGGTTGGGCCTCGGCAAAATGTGGGCGTGAAGTCAACGCGACGGACCTCGGTTTGTACAGAGTCCCCTTGCTGCCATACAGACTACCCTGCTGCCATACAGACTACCATGGCTGCCATACAGACTACCCTGCTGCCATACAGACTACCCTGCTGCCATACAGACTACCCTGCTGCCATACAGACTACCATGGCTGCCATACAGACTACCCTGCTGCCATACAGACTACCATGGCTGCCATACAGACTACCCTGCTGCCATGACAGGACTACTGCTGCCATACAGACTACCATGGCTGCCATACAGACTCCCTGCTGCCATACAGACTACCCTGCTGCCATACAGACTACCATGGCTGCCATACAGACTACCCTACTGCCATACAGACTACCTTGCTGCCATACAGACTACCTTGCTGCCATACAGACTACCCTGACTGCCATACAGACTACCTTGCTGCCATACAGACTACCATGGCTGCCATACAGACTACCCTGCTGCCATACAGACTACCATGGCTGCCATACAGACTACCATGGCTGCCATACAGACTACCCTGCTGCCATACAGACTACCATGGCTGCCATACAGACTACCATGGCTGCCATACAGACTACCATGGCTGCCATACAGACTACCTTGCTGCCATACAGACTACCATGGCTGCCATACAGACTACCATGGCTGCCATACAGACTACCCTACTGCCATACAGACTACCTTGCTGCCATACAGACTACCCTGACTGCCATACAGACTACCTTGCTGCCCTGCTGAGTCCCCTGGCTGCTGTGTCCCCCGTGGGCTGGCGTGGGGGGGAGGGGCAGGATTGGTTCAGATGTCGCTCGCCACTGACGTTGGCTACGGCCAGGAATCTAACTCGGGTGGCGGGGTTGGTAGGGTGGTGCACTAACCATTGTGCCACCACTCCTCTGGTACAAAGACCTGCGCCGTCATTCTGCTGGAGCAAATGAGTCCTTCGACCTTCTGACACGCACGCGTACACACGCACAGATGCATGCGCACACGTGCACAAACAGGCACACGCGCCCGCTTTGCACAAGCTTGGACGGAGGCCCATGTATGAAACGAGAGGCGAGAATTGGAATTTTAAACACACGCGTCGTTCAGCCGGCACCGGCATCCAAACTCGGGCGGGAGAATGGGGGCGGCTGGGGGAGGAGAGGGGGGAGCAGTGGCAACAGCTGCCGGGAGGGGGGCCCTCCCCCTCTACCCCCCCCCCCAACCCTGTTTCCCAGAGGCATTGCCTGCCGCATCGCATAAATATATGCGAGCCGAAAAATGCGATCTCTATCGCAGGATCCAGGCTTCCTGGACGAGGGCCCAGCGCCGCCTGTGCCTTGCGGAGCTCCGTCGGCCGTTGGGGCCACGGCTAACGAAGCGGTCACGCGGGGGGGGGCGGGGGGGGGCGAGCGATGCACGCCGGCGCTCGGTAACCCCGCGCCTCGCTCGCTTTGCCCGCTCGCCGTCACCTCCACCTCACAGCACGGAGGCATTTACGGTCGAGAGATGTCCGGTCGGCCTGTAACTTCCCTCTCCTGGGCAGTGGCCTCCCCCATCCTTCTCCCTTCCCTCCGTCCCCAGCTGCTCGTGTCCAGTGGTGATCTCTGCGATGTCGTCTCCATGCTGCTGCTGCTGCTGCTGCTCTCACCTCGTCTTCCGTTGTCTTTCTCCGCTTCACTTTACCTTCTCCGGAGCCGATTCCTATGCCCGTCGGTCGAATATATACGGTGGGTTAAGAGGACATTGGGAATGGGATGGACAGGAAACGCGATGAACAAAGCGGCGTTGAAAATCATGGGATGCAAAAGCAATGAACAGAACGATGATGAGGTTGAGACACGGGGAAGGAATTGGCGTGGAGCTCCGGGCATGTCGTGCCATAGCCACAGGCAGCTCTCCTGCAGGTAGGAGGTGAACAGGAAGACAAAGATGGATGCGGTGGGGAGCATGGTGATACGGCAGTCTTTCTGCTGCTGCTGGTGGTGCGCATGCACGTACACAGCGGCTGTGCGTATCACTCGAGAAGCGGCGTGCGTGCGAGCACGTGGCCCGGCGCTCGCGTGCTCTCGTTTCTCTACGGTTTTGTCAAGAGCTCGTTGTTGGCAGGACCCTGCTCCCGAGCGCCAGCGCGCTCCTCTGCAGCTGTGCGCGATGAACTCTCCGCAGCGCTCGCAATTAGGGCAATTTGAATGCGGTAATGGTATTCACAATCTGTTAGGGTTCGTGAATTATGCATTGATGCACGCGACTTTTTAACTCTTGAGCTCAGTATTGCCGTGGCTGCTGCCGCCGCTGCTGCTGCCGCTGCCGCCGCCGCTGCTGCTGCTGCCACCGCCGCTGCTGCCGCCGCTGCCGCCGCTGCCGCTGCCGCCGCTACTGCTGCCGCTACTGCTGCCGCCGCCGCCGCTGCCGTCGCCGCCGCTGCTGCCGCTGCTGCTGCCACCGCTGCTGCTGCTGCCGCTACTGCTGCCGCTGCTGCTGCCGCCGCCGCCGCTGCTGCTGCCGCTACTGCCGCTGCTGCCGCTGCTGCCACTGCTACTGCCGCTGCTGTATTGTTTGTTTTTCCGCTGTGAAGTCGGAGCGCCGTCTCTGAGACGTGCGTTCCCCTTCACCCCGTGACGCTCAAAGAATGGAAATTATCTCTTAAAAATCTGGTGATCGCCGGATGTTTAAGGGCACAGGGTCCAAGTTCGACACAAAATTCTACAACACGCAACGCAGGATAATCGTGGGCGTCGTTGTAGAGAGCGTGCATAACAGAAGTGATGGCAGACACTACGCCTCCTTTGCGTATATTGTGCCCGCTTATTCATCGTTATACGTCAATGCTGCCATCTGCAGAAGTTCTCTATGCTCTGCATTTGGCTTCTGCCCGCAGGCACATGGACGTGTCGCTTAAGAGTCTCCGCAGCGATGCTGCTGCTTGTCTCGTCCTAAATATCTGCAAGTGTTCCACTGCTTGACCGTTCGGCTTCATAGCCATTGGTAGAAGATTGGGAGACAGCGTCCGTGGCGGCCGTGACATTTAAGAGTGTGGGCCACTCCTCCGGCCTCTCCTCCGGCCTGCTCTGCGGCCCGTGCCAGGCGTGTGTACGAGTTGTTCGGTCTCGTCTGCTGTTTTAAATTTTGCACCAATTACGCTGTCTCAGCCATTAGCGTCCATCACGGGGCGAGCGGTGTGTTCTCTGTGTACCCTGAGACATAATGATCCCTCGCAGCCACATGGCTCCTAGCTCACAGAGACGGCTCGCAGTGTGAAGGTCACGAGGTCATAGTGTAGTTGGGGGTCAACTCGTATCATCATCACCACCAACATTGCCATCGTCATAGCCTTTGTCATCATGATTATCATCACCATCATGATCATCGTCGTGGTAATCGTCATCATGAGTATCATCAGCAGCACCAGTAGTGTTAGCAGCAACAGAATAATCACCATCATTTCATCATCGTAATCTTCATCATATAGACAGCAGAAGGCTCATCGTCAGCATCATTGCCATCATCATTTCCATAAATGGAATAATTGTCTTCCAGCATAATAATCCATCATCATCAGCTTCATCACCATCAGCGTCTTCCCCATCATCACTCATAAATCATCATCACACCCTCTTCTCTGAGGGCCATGAATCGAACGCCACAGTGTGGGGATTTAACAGCGAATGTCTTGTTTTGAAACTGGCTCCAGAAATGGGAATGTGGAATTGCCATCATTGGCTTCGTCAAAGTCTCTCTTGCTTCAGCAGAGAGACCCCCACAGTGTATTTAAGAATCCAACGATGCAGATTCCTCAAGATCCAGATCCAGTAGACATGTGCACTGCTGCATTGGACTCGCATGGCGTCATCTGTTTACACATTGCTACAAGTCGCCCCCTTTATCTGTTTAATGTTTCTGTAACTTCATTTTGTCATTTTGCCTTGTTATTGATTGTAATTGTAGTCGTTTGTCGCTACGTGGCCGCAGACGCTCTACCCCAGGGCATGCAGGCTGTGCAGAGCACGCTGTTGTTGTTGTTGTCATTATTATTGTTCCCAGGATGCACAGACGCACTGCGCGACGGTGTATAGGCCGAGGAGCGTGTCCTCTGGTTGTTGTGGTTGTTGTAGTTGTTGTTTGTTGTTGCGGCGTGGCGTGCAGACGCGCTGCCCGAGGGCGTGCAGGCCGTGGCGTCCGTGCTCGACCTCCCGGCGCGGCTCCACGACCTCGGTCGCCGGGGATTTTGGGTAGCGGCGGTCCACCCGCTGCTGTTGCCGTGGGGACGCCGCCGCTCGTTGCTCGACCAGATGCTCCGCCTCGTCCTCGTGCGTCCATCACCCAGGTGACGCCCCGCGCGACCGCACACGGGGCTCGTGGTTGGGTGGGTTGGTGGAATTGTGGTGGCTGAATCGGTGAGTTCATGGTAGGCGAGTGATTATGTGGATGGGTAGGGGAGTGGTAGGTAGGTGAGTATGTTAGTTGGTAGGAGAGGCGTCCTCAGCCATCGGCTTGCCCATGGGGAGTCTGTCTCGCCAGTGGGGGTCTCCTGCCTCCCCTCTCCCTGCTGCCCACGTGCTGCCTGATTGTATCCACTTCCTATAGGTCAGGGAATCGATTCCACGTCCCACTTGCACTGCAATCAATTCCCCATCGATTTCCATTAATAAACAAACCAGAGTCGAGGCTCACGAAACCCCACCAGGAAACAGCCAAACAGCCGTCCCTGCTCACCCCCCTCAGCTCGGGTCAGGCAAACACAGGCTCAGTCTGCGGGCCTCACGACTCATACGCAGAAATGTCAAAGGTCAAAGTGACCTCCTGCTCTCACTTGAGTATTGAGGCATTGCTTCTCACACCCTCTTTACAGGATGTGAGCACCAATGCTGTTTACATGATGTGAGCGTGGGGTCTACTGGATGTGGTGTCCCTGGGTGCGGAAATATTTCTGGGTCACTAACTCGTGTGAAGTGAAGCCCTGAGGGACACGAGGGGGAGGGGGAGGCGTGTTCACCATCAACACAAACCATCGTGTTCACCATCAACACAAACCATCGTGTTCACCATCAACAAACCATCGTGTTCACCATCAACACAAACCATCGTGTTCACCATCACAAACCATCGTGTTCACCATCAACACAAACCATCGTGTTCACCATCAACACAAACCATCGTGTTCACCATCAACACAAACCATCGTGTTCACCATCAACACAAACCATCGTGTTCACCATCAACACAAACCATCGTGTTCACCATCACAAACCATCGTGTTCACCATCAACACGAACCATCGTGTTCACCATCAACACAAACCATCGTGTTCACCATCAACACAAACCATCGTGTTCACCATCAACACAACCATCGTGTTCACCATCAACACAACCATCGTGTTCACCATCAACACAAACCATCGTGTTCACCATCAACACAAACCATCGTGTTCACCATCAACACAAACCATCGTGTTCACCATCAACACAACCATCGTGTTCACCATCACACAAACCATCGTGTTCACCATCAACACAAACCATCGTGTTCACCATCAACACAAACCATCGTGTTCACCATCAACACAAACCATCGTGTTCACCATCAACACAAACCATCGTGTTCACCATCAACACAAACCATCGTGTTCACCGTCAACACAAACCATCGTGTTCACCATCAACACAAACCATCGTGTTCACCATCAACACAAACCATCGTGTTCACCATCAACACAAACCATCGTGTTCACCATCAACACAAACCATCGTGTTCACCATCAACACAAACCATCGTGTTCACCATCAACACAAACCATCGTGTTCACCATCAACACAAACCATCGTGTTCACCATCAACCACGTGTTCACCGTCAACACAAACCATCGTGTTCACCATCGACACAAACCATCGTGTTCACCATCAACACAAACCATCGTGTTCACCATCAACACAAACCATCGTGTTCACCATCGACACAAACCATCGTGTTCACCATCAACACAAACCATCGTGTTCACCATCGACACAAACCATCGTGTTCACCGTCAACACAAACCATCGTGTTCACCATCAACACAAACCATCGTGTTCACCGTCAACACGAACCATCGTGTTCACCATAAACACAAACCATCGTGTTCACCGTCAACACGAACCATCGTGTTCACCATCAACACAAACCATCGTGTTCACCATAAACACAAACCATCGTGTTCACCATCAACACAAACCATTGTGTTCACCGTCAACACAAATCATCGTGTTCACCGTCAACACGAACCATCGTGTTCACCATCAACACAAACCATCGTGTTCACCATCAACACAAACCATCGTGTTCACCATCAACACAAACCATCGTGTTCACCGTCAACACGAACCATCGTGTTCACCATCAACACAAACCATCGTGTTCACCATCAACACAAACCATTGTGTTCACCGTCAACACAAATCATCGTGTTCACCGTCGCCTGTGCTCATTTGTGGTTGTGCATTCGCTGTCACCGGGAGCAGCGCTGGATCCGGCTCGGAGCCCCCAGGGAGGTTCCGGCTCCTGGTGGAGGAGTGCCCGCTCTCCGGCCCGGAGCTCACCACAGAAGCCTTCAAGACCTTCCTCAAGAAGGTCGGTGGGGGCGGGCACCGTCGCCCAGAATTCAGCCACAGAGTTTCCGGTTCACCGTCTGGTGGGGCGTTAACGTCAGTTGTGCGATGCACAGACTGATCCCTGCCATAGTTATGTGGAGTTTACATCACTGGCTCTGCATACATGGCTATTGATGGGGTTATTGTGTCTGTTCTCATTCGCCCTCCCCCGTCTCCTTTTCTCCCCATCTCCATGTCTCGTGTTTTCGCTGTTTTGCCATCTCCCACATTTTGCTGTCTCCCTGCATTTGTATCCCCTTGCCTCTCCATCTTCCTGTCTTCCCATCTCTCTCTCTCCATTTCCGCATGCTGCCTTTCAATTTCCCCATCTTCCGCCCCCCCACTTGCCCCCCACCTCTCCCCCCACCTGCACCCCCCCCCCCCGCGCCGCCCGTAGTCTCTGGAGGCGGCGGTGGAGCGGGGCCACTCGTACGTGGGCGCCGTCGCCCAGTACTCCCCCAGCGGCGCCGGCTCGCTGCCCCGTTGCTCCGGCCGCAGCGTCGCCAGCGAGCTCCCGTCCGCCCGCTCGCTCGCCTCGGACGAGCGCGCCACGCCGCCCGGGAGACGGAGCAATGGGGCATCCCCCGAGGGGGAGCACGGCGCTGCCGCCGCCAGCGAGGGGGAGGCGGACGAGGAGGAGGACGACGAGGTTTTCGCCGAGACGACGCCCGACGCGCGAGCGGCGCCAGGGAGGGAAGACTCGCCGGAGGAGGAGGCAGGCAGCGGCGCGGGAACTCGAGGGGGAATCGACGGAGAGCGGCGGCCACGGCGGTGGCTACGGTAAGACGACGGCACTCGCGCCCGGCCAACGCGCTAATCCTCCTCCAGCAAGACCATCGGTTTGACTCGTGCGCTGGACATCACCACCGCTGGCAGAGCATCACCACCCGGGGATGACTTGCAGGGATCTCGCAGGTAACTCCGTGATATCCACTTCCGCGGGCCGTTCTCCAACACGGGCGGTCCCACTGCACGAGGGTTCCGAATGTATTCTTCGTCTTGTGACTGGACACTGGTCATACAACTCACGAAACAAGGAGTTTTATTTCTGGCGAGCACCATCCAATATTTCGAGACCTTCCTGAGGCTCCGCAGCATAACAATGACAGGACCCTCACGCAGCTGAAACCGTTTCTCCAACGTTCACCGGGACCGGGTTGGTGAATTCATAGCGCACTGAATCCCCACGCCTTGCGCCACGGGCACTGGACTCCCCCTGCCGGCGAGCTCCTCCTGCGGCGTCGCTAGCGGTGGTGCGGGTGGCCGGGGTGCCCCCTTGTGCCGCGTCGGTGTCGCTGTCCTCGCGATATCGCGCTGGCCACTGAGCAGCAGGTGCAGCGAGCAACACGCGGAGCGGCGAATCGGGGACCGGGAAATCGGCCGCCCCCGGCACCCCTCCTCGCCCACGCACAGCGGTGGGCGCCGGGGCGAGCGGCGAGGGACGTGTGTCGCACGCTCCGGGGGAACGGCGTGGGATCCGCGGGCCCGTTAGCGTCGAGCCCAGGTCTCCCGCGTTGCCAAGGAGACGTGCAGTCACACCGGGTGCTCGCCCGGCGGTATATCGACGGGTAGCGTGGTTAGCTACCTGCCTGCCCCTCCCTGTGTGCTCGTTTTCCATGCTACGTACCCATCCACCTGCTTACTCGCTTAGCTCCCGAACTACCTACTCGGCTCTCTACCTATCAAATCTCCTGCCCACCCACTCATCTACTGACCCACCTACCTGCCTGCCTGCCTGTCTGTCTACCTCAATCCCTACCTACCCCCTATTCACACTTGCCTACCTCTGATGGCCTGCATACCTATCACCACAGCCATTGACTCACTCAACTACCTGCTTAACTACCTCCCTCCTACCTACATGTGCCTACTCGCCCACCTACCCACACACACACCTCCCTCTCGCAGAGGAATACGGTCCACAAAGACAAAGAGAGGCCCCCTCATCGCCAACGCTCAGACTTGCACACACGTCGTCCAGTAACCTGCTGCTCGCCCAAGTAAAAATGGTCCCCGTATTTGACCTTCCCTAACCCCCCCCCCCATTCACCCCCGCCCCCCCTCCGTTGCTGCAGACCTGCGCGTGTTCCTGCTCTACAACGTGCCAGAGGACCAGCGCCCCGGTCCCGCCTACTACACGGACACGCTGCCAATCAGAGTCACCCGCCGTGGACATGCCCTCTCCGCGCTCGACGCCGATTGGCTGGACCGCCTAAGCCGCCACCTGGAGGAGGGGGCCACCCTGGCCGACGCCCAAATCTTGCCGTTCACCGGGAGAGGTGGGGGCCGGGGAGAGGGTGGGGGTCACAGTGGGAGGGGGGGTGCCCCCTACTGAGCATGTCTGGTCACGGCTGCGTGCGTGGAATCGCGGCTGCGAAGATCTGTGGTTCACCATACGTGGTCGTGATTTGAGGGTTGGTGACCGGTTCGTCCGGCTCGTGATGGACACACGGGGCCGGGCGCAGAGCGGGCGACCAGTTAGGGGTTGTGCAAATGGTTTATGAATTGTTAGCGTTGAGCCAACGGATGAAACGAGAGGGAGCGCACAGCAGGAGAGACGGAGCAAGCGAGATGGGCGAGACGGACGGGCAGGTGACGCCGCCGCCGCACTGGCGGTGGCAGACAGTGAGACAATCAACAATTGACTCTCGAATCGTGGCCCGGAATCTGACAATTCCTGAAATCATGAATCATGCAGCAGTAGAAGGGGGGTGGGGGGGCAGCCTCGCTTGTGCTACACACACAAAGTGTGACTGATGGTGGTGATCACGGGGATGATTATGACGGCAATATTGCCGAGTATATTATTGATGACGATGATGACGATAGTGACGATGACTATGCCCCACCACCACCACAGGCGACCGAGGACCCAAGGCGCTGGAGGGGCTCCTCGTCTTCGAAGAAAATGTCGACACGTCCTCGTGCTCCTCCTCCTCCTCCTGCTCGTCGCCAGAGATGAGGACGGGGAACGATGTGATCGTGGTGGAGCAGCTCACCCTGATTGAGGTGGACAACAACAACATCATCAACAACATCCACTACAGCAACATCAACATCCACTACAGCAAAATCAACATCAATAACAACATCCACTACAGTAACATAAATAACATCCACTACAACAACATCAACAACATAAACAACAACAGTATCAACAACAACATCGACTAGAGTGCTGAGCTAGAAACCCAGCTACCGGAGTTTGATTCCAGCTCGTGGCCAACACCAGTGACAAATATCTGAACCGGTCCTAGGCCTTCCCTAGGTTGACACAGCCTCAAATGAGTACCTCGTGCGGCGTGTAAACCATCAGCACCGAGGAGACAAAGGTGGCACGGCGTGGTGTTGCCCACACCACCCCCGTGTGCGCCGTGCCAGCCTGCGTCAGTGCTCTCTAGCAGCACTTAGCCCGACAGTCTGCAAGGTTACACAGGGGCTCGTTGTGCGTGCGCTCGTGTCCAGGGCTGCGAGGTGAAGACGGACTACGTGCCGCTGCTGCACACGCTCGCCGAGTCGGGCTGGCTGCTCACCGCCATCCTGCCCACCCCTGTCGTGAAGCCCGACAGGTGAGGCCGGTGGTGTTGTCGTGTGTGAGAGTATGTGAGAGAGAGAGAGTGTGAGAGTGTGTGAGAGGGCGTGAGAGTGTGTGAGAGAGTGTGTGAGAGAGTGAGAGAGAGTGTGAGTGTGTGAGAGAGTGTGAGAGAGAGTGTGTGTGAGAGTGTGTGAGAAAGTGTGTGAGTGTGTGAGAGAGTGTGAGAGATAGTGTGTGTGAGAGTGTGTGAGAGTGTGTTAGAGAGCGTGTGAGAGAGTGTGTGAGAGTGTGAGTGTGTGAGTGTGTGAGAGAGTGTGTTAGAGAGTGTGTGAGAGAGTGTGTGAGAGAGTGTGTGAGAGTGTGAGAGGGTGTGTGAGAGTGTGTGAGAGTGAGAGAGAGCGTGTGTGTGAGACAGTGTGAGAGAGAGTATGTGTGAGAGTGTGAGAGTGAGAGAGAGCGTGTGAGAGCGCGGTTGTGAGAGAGCGTGTGAGAGTGTGAGAGAGCATGTGTGGGTGTGAGATGTGTGAGTGTATATGTGACGTATGTGGTTTGTGTCTTTGGGGAGCATTCGTGGAGTGGTTAGCACGCTGCGCTACCTACCCAGCGACTCGCTCACGGCCAACACCAGTGACGATTATCTGAACTGGTCCCTAAGCCTCCCCTAGGTTGACTCAAATGAGTATTGTACCTGGTGTTATTTGTAAAGATTGCCACTCGGGAGACAAAGGCGGCCGGGCGTGGTGCTTGCCACCCACTGCCTCATGTGCCATGTTGGTCTTCATTAGAGCTCACTAACAGCACTTACGTAACAGTCTGTTAAAGCTATATGGGGGATCTTTGTCTGTGTGGGGAGCAGTGGCGTAGTTAGCGTGTGTGTACTTTACACTTTAGCGAGCTGAGCTGACGGAGCAAAGGAGGCCGACACGTGGGAATCATGTGATTGTGTAATCACGTGTTCTGTGTTCACAGCGAAGGAAACTTGGTGAGCAAGCAGATCGTCTTCCTGCAGAGACCCATGCAGCCCGCAAGACCCACACCAGACACCCCCAAGAGTGGGAAGAAGGCATGATGATGATGGTGGAAGAAGGCGTCATGATGATGGTGGTGGTGGTGCTATAAGAAGGCGTGGTCATGATGATTTTGGTGAAAGGCGTAAAGATGATGATGGTGGTGGTGCTGGAAGAAGATCCAGGAGCCATGCGGAACAGCAAATGTGTGCACACACAGGAACGATGACGACGATGACGACCGCCACTCAGTCACCGCGGTGGCGTCACCACAGCACAATGCCACATGGGGCCCCCTCATTCATCGCGGTGCATGTGCCAGGCTATGTGCACTTTTAGGCCACGTGAAGTGTCAAAGGCTTTTTTGTTATTTTCTTTGAACCTATCTACGTGACTTTACCAAACGACCCAAAGAATATATCAAAGGCTGTTCATCTTTCTGCGCACACACACCCATACGCACGCACCCAGATCCCCCGTTTAGCTATACACACAAATCCACTTGTGCGCATGCACACACACTCGCACACACGCGCATACACACGCACACACGCCGACGCTGCAGAACAGGACAGCAACGTCAATTCGGTGCACGTTGAGTGGTTGTGCCCATTACGAACACGCGCGCACGTCACACGCACGCGCGCCACCACGCCGCGATCAAGGCCGTGACCCCGCACGCACGCGGGACACGGTCGCATCAGGTTGAACAGTCGGACGCAGAGTCGCTCACTCACGGCTCTTCCTAAGATCGCGCCCCCCTCACCAGCGCCCCCCTGTGGCCGTGACCAGTAAATGCAACGTGCGCTCTCGAAATACTTTTCCTTCGCAGTCGCCGTGCCAACGTGAGACAGTGTTTGGAGGTCCATGGAACTCTGATGCCAGGGTCACAATGTAATACATTATTTGAACCCACCCCCCTCTGTCTCTAGCCGGTCCGCGCCGTTCTCGCTGTCCCAAAGCTGCAGCGATGGTGGGGTTCGCCGGTTTGTCTCTCGCACCTTTGTAGAGACAACAACCGCCAGTGTGGGGACACCTGAGCAGACACCCGACACCGATGTAGGATTATGACCCACGGTGGGGGGCGGGGTCAATTTATTTTTGGAGAACGCGTAACCCAGGGTTCAAATTATATTTCTTCTCATACCAGTCCAAATTCTGTGGGGTCCAAATGCTTTCTCGCACCGGCCGACAGCAGAGCTCCGACGGGCAGAGCCCGGCCACTCGCGAACAGCGCCGGCGGCAATGGCGGGAGACGCCGCTGGCACGTGGCCGAGAGAGACACGAGGCAGTGGGCCACGCCGGCCGGGCAGCCGGCACGCCGTCAGGGTCACGGGGCGACCCGCGATGGGGGGGCCGGGGGGCTCGACGTTGGATTTGAGGATTTGGGGTCGGGCTCCCCCTGGGCACGCTAAAAACGGTGACCCGCCTGGCCCCTGTCCTGTCTGCTGTGGGCGGTGAACGAGACGAGGGCGGCAGCGTTCCCAGACCCCCCGCGTCTGCGGTTGAGAACGATCATTCTCAACCACAGAACGATATTCTGTCTAAAAGCGTATATGCAATTTTAACGTGCAGTATTTTCCTCTAGATTTCACGGTATGTTACAAACTGTGCTCTGTTTAGCCTTCAGAAAGCAGAGCGATCTGTATTTTGAAGCATCTTGTTTATGGGAATGAGGTAATCATCAAGATTGTTAAAAACTTTGATGAGAGTATTTTTTATACCGAAAACCGTTTTTTGTTTGTTTTTACACTTTCGCAGTATTAACGAATTACGATGCCGCCCGTCAGTGTGTGTCTTGCTTCCAAGGAAGGGCTAAATAATTATCTGCATCGCTCGCTATTTAATTAACGTAAGGCGTCCGCACGATTGTTCACGCGTGTTTGCCGGACTCTTAAGCCATTGTACGCGACTCACGGTTCCTGCCAAAATGTCCCTGCCGGAGGGAACGTCTCTCTCCGTCTCGCTAGGGCCCTGCCGGAGGGAACGTCTCGCGAGAGAGAGAACGTCTCTCTCCGTCTTGCTAGGGCCCTGCCGGAGAGAACGTCTCTCTCCGTCTTGCTAGGGCCCTGCCGGAGGGAACGTCTCGCGAGAGAGAGAACGTCTCTCTCTGTCTTGCGAGAGAGAGAACGTCTCTCTCTGTTTCGCGAGAGCGAGAGAACGTCTCTCTCCGTCTTGCGAGAGAGAGAACGTCTCTCTCTGTCTCGCGAGAGCGAGAGAACGTCTCTCTCTGTCTTGCGAGAGAGAGAACGTCTCTCTCTGTCTCGCGAGAGCGAGAGAACGTCCTCTCTCCGTCTTGCGAGAGAGAGAACGTCTCTCTCTGTCTCGCGAGAGCGAGAGAACGTCTCTCTCCGTCTTGCGAGAGAGAGAACGTCTCTCTCTGTCTCGCGAGAGCGAGAGAACGTCTCTCTCCGTCTTGCGAGAGAGAGAACGTCTCTCTCCGTCTTGCGAGAGCGAGAGAACGTCTCTCTCCGTCTTGCGAGAGAGAGAACGTCTCTCTCTGTCTCGCGAGAGCGAGAGAACGTCTCTCTCCGTCTTGCGAGAGCGAGAGAACGTCTCTCTCCGTCTTGCGAGAGAGAGAACGTCTCTCTCCGTCTTGCGAGAGCGAGAGAACGTCTCTCTCCGTCTCGCGACGGAGGCCACGGGGCGGCCGCTTCCTGGCGCGCCGCGCGATATCGCCGCGTCCGCTCGGCGACGTCGCACCGTCCGTTTTGCACAAATATCCTCAAATCACGATTACCTTTGCTCGCTTCGTTTTTTCGTATATATATTTTTCATTTCCTAACGATATTTACGGAATGGCAAACGCGATTATTAATATTTCTACGATAAAATTTACGGCCATCCGTTAAATGCACGTTTTTCAAAATGCGTTTGGGATAAATTGCCGGCACGTTTGGTGGTCACGCGCCGTCGTGGTTTTCTCACCGCGTGCGCGCTGCCCACGCCCCACAGAGGATCCATTCGGAGACTCGCAGCAGGCGTACGGCGAGAGAACGGGAGTCGAATAACTTCTGAGCGGTCTCCAATTCGTACTTGAAGTTCATCAATGCACAGAATCACGATGTAAATAATGTGAATTAATTACAGAGTAAAGGGAAACCGATATCGCGATAATGGTCACTTCGTGAAATGCGCATTGTGGTGTCGTGTGAGGAAGAGCGATGTCGCGGCAGCCCTCGTGAAGCCGCCGGTCGAGCGGTGGGCGCGCGCCACGCCGCCCGACTGCACATGGCACCACCAGCACCACCACCAGCACCAGCAGCACCCAGGAGGCCATTGCCGTTGCAATAAAAACAGAACCCTGCGCAGCCAATCAACGGTCCGGAGAGGTCGCTTTTGTTTGGCGAACGTGTGTCAAGTGAATCGAAGTTTACGTTGCCCGCATGCTCCGGTGAGTGTGGGGCCGTGGGCGGTCACCTCTGTTGTAAATCCTGAACCAGTGGTGGGAATTCGACATTGCTATGGTTGAGGGTGAGTTTATCCACAGCCCTAGGGTGGCCACTATTGTATGATGAATCAAACTCAATCGTTGTGCCGCCCCACGCCTAAATGACCATGGGGGTGCCACTCATTTCCGTTGATGGCCCTGAGACAGTGGTGGAAACTCCACGTTTCTGTGGTGGGGCAGTGTATCCATTGCATCGATACATCCATTGGTGTCAGCTTCGGGTTCAGAGGTTGACGGTCAACGAGTTCCAGCGCCGACTCTCGGCCCAAGCCCTCGCGATGCGCCGCGTGCTGTAGGTGGATCGCACACAACAACAAATGTTGTGAAACTCCCTTCCCGCGGACGTCCAGTGCCACACCCTGACTCGCCAGGAGAACGCAGCACAGCACGTGGATTAATCGCCATCTCTTTCCATCTCTACGGAGATTTAGTGTCACCCCCTCGTGCGCGAGGGTTCTCTTCGGGTTATCTGGTTTTCTCTCTCGACTTAAAGCTTTCGTGACTGCAGGAATTCGTTCATGAAGCCATCGTTCATGAAGCCATCCATATATATAGACGCAGACAATTTAAACCGAGAAGATGGGTACAAACTGAGCAATCATTGGAACGACGTTATCAACCAGTTTAAGTCATAACTGGCTGTGATGTTCCCATCCTACCACCTCCCGATGTTAGTTTTGTGCTTTACGCCCATCGCAAACTTGTGCTGTCACAGACACTTCGCGCACCGACCCCTTGGTTGCGGCTCTGCGGTCTCCCATTAACATGCCAGTCTCTCTTTAACATGCACATCTTATATCTTGATTTGAAGCTTTCGTGACTGCAGGAATCCATACTCTTTGGTTCTTTCGGTAAAGTCACGTAGTTAGTGGAACTACAGTTCCACTGTTGGATTATATTTTTTTCCTGAGGACGACCGCTCGTGTTGCGATCGAAACGTCGTGATCTATTTTATACCGACGTGACTTACCGAAAGAACCAAAGAATATGCAAATTTTCACCTGGCAGCACTTTGATTGGTGGAAAGCGAACCACCGCCGTGCTCGCTGCCCAGCACTACACTCTCATTGGCTGCTGACATTTGGGCTACGCCCATTTCAAACCCTCATAAACAGTTTCCCTCGGAAGTTGTTAACCCTCGTTTCCTGAAGACGACCCCTTGCGTTGCGATCGAATCGTCGTAGTTTTCTGTTATTTTTTTATTATTTTCTTTGAACCTATCTACGTGACTTTACCGAAAGACCCAAGAATATGGTTTCCTCTCGTTTAAATGAAACGCTCATCATTAATTGGCTGAAAACATCTTAAAATGAAAACGCAGTGTAGCAGGACCCTCGTGCAAAAAGAGTGTGGCTCTCCTAGAAAAAACAACTCAATTCTTAAGTTTGAAGTTTTGGTGACTGCAGGGATCCATACTCTTTGTTTTTTCGGTGAAGTCACGAATCAAGTGGCTCTCAAACCCCACTTGATGACGGAAGCTTGTGTTGCCTCCGAAACGTCGTGATTTAATTTAGTTATTTGTATTTTTAATTTTCACCTACGTGACTTTACCGAAAGAACCAGAGAGTATGAATTCGTGTGTTTGCCTGCGCCGAGTGCCAGTGTCCATCGTGGGACGGGAGTGCCCCCCCCCCTCTCCTCCACGCCGCTGTGGGGTTGAGAGCCACTTGAGTTCAAGTGAACTCTCGTGGGCAAACAGAGAAAAAGAGATCGGAAAAATGTCATTCTGTCTACACAGATAAACATAGAGTTTAGTCTATCCACCTATTGCCTTTTCAGACTCAATATTATCCTGTAACATGTATTTAAACAAATAATATATGGACAGTAGGAGAATATATAAGCAGACAGTTCACCTTCTCATAGCTGTCCTCCGCATAAATAATACAACTCTAGATTTGAAGCTTTCGTGACTGCAAGGATTCATATTCTTAGGTTATATTCTTAGAATATAATACAACTCTATTTTGTACACATCCCAACAATCGGACGGCCTTCTGGGAGTGATTCTTTCAGCAGCATTGGTTCAACGCACGCAAACTCGAGACCGTTTTTTTTCGACATTCTGAGAAAACCTTGTTAACCAAATGCTGGATTGCCAGAATGTATGTATTGGCAAGAGCAAATCATGTAAACCAGGGGACCCACCGTTGCAAATGCATCAGGGGAGCCGTGCTGTCGTGTTCGGCAATGGGAATGCGCCCTCTGCCGGCCGAGCCGCCTCCTGGCAGGCGGGACCGCGAATCGGGTTGCGTCCCGTCACTTGCGGTCCGACCAAGTCCAGTGTTCAAGTTCAAGTTCATTTATTAGGTATAGCCCTGTGAGCCATTCAGCTCTTGAATCGGGTGCAACCGCAACAAAAAAAAACAAAACATGAACATGAGCGTGTGGGGGCCACACGTTCACATGCGGCCCGTGTCCTCGTCGGCTGCGACCATGTGGACGGGTGCTAAGAGCGACACGTCTTGTGTGTTGGCACGTGCCACGGGTTGACCGGCTCCGTGAGCCCCGTGGTGGTGTCACGTGGTCCCCCGCAGCCCCCGCTTCCCGCCCCGCAAGATCAGGGTCATCTTAAGGACTGTGACGTCACGAGCCATCGGCGTCCCGTGCGGAAAACGCGCTTCCGTCCAAATCTTTGTCACCTCTCCTCAACGCGCATGCGCTGAGCCCCGCCCCTCCACCCAACCCGTTTCACCCCAGCGCGATGCCGATGATAAGCGGCGTGGCCGCGCGTGCGCAGTAGGCACTACCCACGGTATTTGTGGCGGGCTGGGTCACGTGGTGCGCTAGGGGAGGGGCTCGAGGTCTCAGCTGCTCACAACCTTGGCGCGCAGCAGCAGCCCGGCGACTCGCAGTGCAATGGCTCTCATCGCCGCGTCGCGCCTCCTCCTGCTCAACCCCGCCAAGGTGAACCACCACCACCACCACCACGCCGGCGACGTTCTCGCGAGCCCCTCTCGCCGTGTTCGGCGAGCGAGCCGGCGAGTGCGGCATGGCCGACGCGGCAGTTTCCCGCGCGCGGGCGGTGGCCGCCCCGGGGCGGGGTAGGCCCGCACGCAGCCTGGACTCTTGCCTGCGTCGCCGCGAAGCCGACGGTGGCGCCGTGGTTTCGGCGGTGGTGTGAAATTTGTTTTCGCTCACGCGTGTGTGTGTAATGCAATGCATGTTTGTTAATTATATGTTTGTTAATGATCGTGGTTGGTGTGAGTTTTCGCGCCGTCTGATCCCTCAGGGCGGATACGCCGGCCGCCTGCAGTGAGTTCATACATTCGCGTCTGGCGCGATGGTGTTTTAACGCGTGGCTCGGAGTGAAATGTCGCGTTAGGTTACAGCGCTTGTGTGGCTTCATTGACGCCACCGTGGGGGCCAGTGAGTGTGTGACTGACTGCGCTGTGGCTGCGGTGGCCGTGGACTTGCGTCGCTTTTGTTTAACACGGCAGCTCCACTCGGGCTGAATGCGAGTGCCCTCGCCACTGGCATTGGCGTTTAATCCGCCCGCAGATGCGGATCATCGTCTGAAGTCGATACAATCGTCGACCGTAATCGTGTCGAAAAGTCTCGACTGGCCCTCACAAGAGGAATGTCGAATTCCCATCTTCGGCTCAAGGTCGTCGGCATAGATGAGCTGTCGCCAGTGCTCGTTCTGGCAGGGAAGCTCATTGACATTGAGGTGATTAATTGGTAATCGGAATGGAAACCAAAGCCCGCTTAGGTTTAGAATTCGCTGTGCCGTCTATTGTGGGGTTGTCTCTGCCAGTGTGGACTGGCCCCGCGATGTGTGCGTGACTTGTGTCTTGGTTAAGATCCATATGGTGTCCGAGTGTCGGGCCCGAGCACCCACAGAGACTTGTGACCTCCAAAGGGTTAAACAGGCGTCTATCCTTGTGCCGTGTTCCTCAATACAACCACAATACTACTTGGGGCTGTCCGCAGACTCGCACGTGCCCTACCAGACGGGCACATTACCATGCGTTGGTTATGGATCTCACGTACTTGAGATGTTACGACGCGATGCGGCAAAACAACCTCGCAGATAATTCTCACCCTTCAATTAAATGTCCGCTGCGCCATTCGTCAGCGTCTACGTGTGTCACACGTGTGGCACCCAGCCTGGCACATGCCCCCCTCGCCCCCCCCAGCAGCTTGCTTCGAGCTCTGAAACCCACAGGGCTGGCCAAGAGGGTGGCCGCCCTCCTGGTTGGTACGTGCGGCACAGTTGAGGGCAAACCGCGCCGTCCGGAATGCTCCTGCAGCGCCTCCTGCCCCCTGACCAGGGCACGTGTGACGAGGGGTTATTAGTGGCCCCATACTGATGCCACGGAAGCCCGTGCCAGGAAAAGCTCGCGTGATCGCGTTACCACCGCCTGCTGTTGAGCTGCCCGGGGCAGCAAGGGCGGTTTTAGGTGCGCTGCTTGTGTTTGTTTGAACTCCGTCCGCTCCGCTGCTTCCTGCTGTTGCTGCGGCAGTGGCGCAGAGAGGTTGTTTGGAAGCGTTGGGACGCGTCCGTAAAAACAAACATTTGGCAACTGAAGTGATTGTGGCTTTTTAAAAGGTGTCCGTTTGAACTGATCCGTGACATGGTTATGATTGTATTTCAGCATGCAGGGGCTCTGGTTGTCGCATGCAGACACTCCTCGTCATCTACAACGGTGAGTTCAGTTCCGTGTCTCCATCGCACTTTTGCAAAAGTTTGCATAACAAATCATGATGAACCAAAAAAAAGTCTGCAAACTTCTAAAAAAGGATCGGAATTCCTTTGAGCATACCATGGTGGTGACAGGTTTACTGTTGCGAGCGCGACTTGGTGAACCGGCTTGAGTGCCTTAAAAATGGGTCGTCACGTGAGAATGTTTTTGAACTTGCCG